GATATTGACATCATAAAGAAACTTCAATCAATTGTACAATTATCATTTCGGCTAATCGAATAAAAAATATATGTGATATTGACATCATCGAGAGATTAAAATTAGTTTTATAAAAATCGTTAGGCAAATTGGATGGACAGCATAAAAAATGGAGATGCTCAATAATCTGGATCTTCTGATCTGACTTCTGATCTGATTTTCTGATTTGTTTCACTAGTTAAGTGGTAGTGATGCCTGTATTCTAAGTTGAAATTGTAGCCTGGGTATTCCATAGAATAGCGAAGTTTTTATAAGTTTGTTTAAACCCACCTCTATATTTTGGGTTCCAAAGTATAAAAAAACAAAAATTAATCTATCTGCATATTGTTATTACAAAACAATTCCAACAATTAATTATAATTTTGAATAAATGTTTTTTGTTTTTTTTCATTCTCGCCTATTTCAGTTAAAAGATTTTAATTTTCTTTCCTGTAAGTAGAACCTCCTCCATTCTAACTTACTTAAATCACTTCTACACACTTCCAGTTGCTTCAATTCACTTAGGACTCATTATTGTGTTAAAAATCGCTTAGATTAATTAAAAATCTGAGAGCGCATATCGGGGGTCATAGAAATGAAGAAGTGAAAAGTGAAAGTGAAAGGACCAACAAATTTTGATTCTAACCCAAACATTGTAATTAAAAAGTTTAAAAACATAATTAAAATGCAAATTTTGTATGAAAAATCGTTATCTCCATTGTTAATTTGTTTTTATTAAATTAATCAACATAATTTGAGCAGGCCGAAGTTTTGACATCTGCCACTATTTTGCATTAGAAAGACGTTAATTAATTCACCTCGTACGCCATTCTCGCTCTTAAAATGAAGACAAAGCGGCATATGAACAGTGTTACCAACACCAAAAAGGCCAGAGAAAAGGATTATGTTGGAAAAACAGCAAAGCAAAAAATTATAGATACAATCTAAACCGCAAAAAAATAGATGCGAAAAAAGAAAAAAATAAAAAAGTTAATACCTAACAAGAAACCACAGTGCCCCGCTTATCTTTAGTAGTAGATTTTGCGTGCTCTAATCTAGTAAACTCAGTGCTTAACCCATTTGTATA